AACAAACAAACAAACAAACAAACAAGGAAACAAACAAACAAACAAACAAACAAACAAACAAGGAAACAAACAAACAAAACCGCACCCTACAAGGAAGGGGAACGTGAACCAATGGCAAGCAGACATACCACAAGGACGCACCAGATCAACTGTAACGAACAAGAAAATGCCAGACCACCTAGATTCCGATCACGTGCTAAACAGACGCGCCCAATCTTGGACGCCGAAAAATAAGAAGTAAAAAGACAAGAGAAGAAAAGAAGTAAAAGACCCCCCCCAACCCCCCAAACCCCCAAACAAAACAAAACAAAACAAAAAGAAGAAGAAGAAAAAAGAAAAGAAAGGGAAAGCCACACAAACAAACACAAACGCCCGCGCCGTCACCTTTTCCCGCAGTTACACACCGGAAGCGGAAACCAGGTGCCCCGTACGCCGACTGTGTGGTTGATCAGCGTCACCTCGACCAGACAAAAGACGAGACAAAAGACGAGATCTGGCAAGACCTGGCGAGACCTGGCGAGATTCCGTTAATATCAAACCCGGTCTGGGGGGTAGGGAACGACCCGCGTCGTTGGGACGGAATTTACTACGACCGTTGATGAATAGTTCAATATCCCGTTGATAACCTTCCGCTGCCTACCAATTCCACGTTTCCGGTATCGTGGAGAAAGAATTGACGTGTACTTGAACCTTCCTACAGCAAATCCCTTTGGTCACTTCCCTCCGCCTATTTATTGTGACAGAAGCTTTGCGCTCTTTTGTATCGGAAGAATAAAATGGGGGTGACAATTGGTTGCTTTCTGTTTTGAGAAAATCGAAGGTAAAGGTTTTGCCCCTTGTTCAGTTTCTTTAAAAGACATGACGAGTTTTCTCTATAACCAAACAAATATACACACCAATGAAACCAAACTTCTCCTATAGGTAGGGTAATGTCCACTTTTGGTGTAGGTCAAGATTTCTGGAAACCCTCCAAATTCTGGGTTAGCCGCTTGTCCTTAAAAAGCGACCAACTATTGCAGCTGGTTTTATTCTCCAAATATGCCTTTTAAAAGACTAGGATTAGTGTCACATCAAGTGGGAAGAGGTTGTAGCTTTTGGGACATATCGTCATCTATCCCAAATGGCCCGACTCACAGAACAGAGTGTCGATATACCGGTGTGACGTGGTGAGGAAGTTAGGCGGGGAATGTTTGGGAACATAAGTAACCTCAGCCGTCAAGGATACATTATGATTTGGAACAGATGCGTTTTGGCCTATAGGATTTTGCCCCCCTAATAATTCTGACCTGTCATTTTGATCACCGTCTGGACCAGTACTGGTACATAGAGAAACCCCTGACCTGTAATTTCAACAACTGCATGGTACATACAGAGACACTACTCATCTGTAATTTCGACCACTGTATGGTACATACAGAGAAACCACTGACATATAATTTCGACCACTGGTACATAGAGAAACCACTGACCTATAATTTCGACCACTGTATAGATCAACACTGCTAGACACATAAACCATTGACCAGTAATTTCGACCACTGTAAGGAAACAGAGACAAAACTGATCTGTAATTTGGACCACTGGATGGTACATATAAACCACTGACCTGTAATTTGGACCACTGGATGGTACATATAAACCACTGACCTGTAATTTGGACCACTGTATGGTACATATAAACCACTGACCTGTAACTTGGACCACTGGATGCGTCCAATACACCTCGGGGCGTTCCTCCAGGCTAGCTTGGCGCCGTACGTGAGCTCCGGTGTGGTCAGCTCGTAGTTTCCCTGAGCCTCGATGCTGGACTGGATCTCTGTCCATCGCTTGTGGTGGGCTGGTGTGTTGTTCCTGGGGGGGGGGGTGTGGTTGGGATAGAATATAGGACAATAGAATTGTGAAAGATACAGGCGTCCATCGCTTGTGGTGGGCTGGTGTGATGTTCCTGGAAGGGGGGTACAGAATGTAGGAAAATAGAATTGCCAAAGAAACAGTGCAGGTTTTACCCCTCTTTCAACACTGTGAAGTTATTCAAGAGGCGCAACTTTCAAATTTAACGTTCAACTCCCAACAGGAATGAGCCAAATAGATAGAAAGCTTTATAACTCTCTCCTCGCTCCTCCCCCCCCCAAACCCCCCCCCCCCCAAAAAAAAAAAAAAATAATACTACTTGGAGTACTAAACAGATGGTTGACGGGGAATATCAGAATAATGTGGCTTTTGTTTAGAGTTTACGAGCAAAGAAATGAATGGAGAACAATGATTGCCGATATTTGTTGCAGATGTGGACCGTAATGAAGATGATGATGATGATCATTACTTTTATTATAATTATCATTGTTGTTGTTTTTACCTTCAATATCATAATCATTATGATTATTATTACTATTATTGATGCTGCCATTATGACATCAGAGTTGTTTTTTATCACGTTTATTGTTATTCAGAAGATCATCTTCAATACATCATCTTTACGCCGGGCACTTCTTGTTTGTTTTAGTACAGGTTTTACGGCGCTCACAACTGCATAAGGTCATATGAGCGCCAAGGGGTGGATGTCAACAGAGAAGTCTTTACAGGGAATCAGACTTACTCTGCTCACCTCTCTAGCTTCAACAGCACAAAGTCTGCTTTGACTATCAAGGCACCCCGGAAATAGCGGGTCACAAGAGAGTGACAAACATACAAAAGAAGTAGAGGAAAAAATGACGATAGTAAGGACGAGGAAAGAAAAAGCAGCAGTTCCCTGTTGCAGTTCAGGCACAGTTATGAGCATGACATAGTTGGATCAGCCCATTTACAATTCTACTGTGCATAAGAACGAGAAATGCCCCCCACCCCCTTTTTAGAATGGCCTAAAGACAGTTCAGTCAGTGGCACCACCCCGGGGGTGTCCGTGCACTTCGTCCAAAGTACAGAATATAGAAGACACAGAGAAAACGGGCAAGAGGCAGACCTCACATGTCAAAGCAAATGCCACACCAGCTCATCGTGTTTGTACATGGCCCACAACCTCCCACACGATGATATCTGACGAGGGGACGATAGATTGACACCACAAACCCTCCTCCTTCCCCTCCCCTCCCCCATACCACACACAAACCCTCCTCCCTCCCCTCCCCCACACCACACACAAACTTTCCTCCCTCCCCTCCCCCATACCACACACAAACCCTCTTCTTAGGACGTTATTTTGGAGTCCGGCTGTTACATCACAGTTTATCGGTGTCCACCAAAGCTACTTGTGACTTCCCAGCTGAGAAAATCAGAGTTCCTTTTTGAAAAAGTTTTATTAAGAGTTTTACGGCACTTGCAAAACAATAAGGTCATAAAGTGCCGGAGATTAGAGGTGTTAGAAGAGAGTAACAAACACAAAAGAGAAGGAGGAAAGATCAGGACCAGAGATGTTTGATAGGAAAGAAGGAGCAAACCACACCAGAGCACCCGCCACCCACCCACCCACCCAGAGATCCTGAATAAATCATTATTTCCCTGCAGGAAGCGAAATGACATTTTTTGAGCCCACAGCGGGAAGGCAAACTGTTACGTCCTCCCTTGAGCAAACGGTGCAAAAACAATTGGTTTTGTTTGTTTTGTTTTGTTTGAGTAAAGAGACGCACAGCGACACGATAACGGTCATTAAATACTAGGAAAAAAGTAAGACAGACAGAAAGAAACAACAGAGGGGGTGTAAAGAAACTGGCGCTACAAGAGGCACCCTCCAACCACCCTTAGCGGAAAAAACCCAATCATTACAATCGTCCTAGGATAAACAGAACAAAACTAACTAAGCCGCCCAAAAAAAATCCAAAACTAATAAACAAACAAACAAACAAACAAACACTCCCCCCAACCGAAACGAACAAAGGCAAACCAATCGATAACCAAAAAAGATTCAAAACAAAAACAAACACATAACAACAAACAAAAAACCCCTGGATTGTCGATCGATCTGTCAATGGTTCTCTCTGTCTATCTATCTATCGATGTTTCTATCTATCTATCTATCTATCTATCTATCTATCTATCTATCTATCTATCTATCT